TTGAGCTCTGAGGTGAGGGTCAAGGGCAGCTGGGTGGGGACCAGCCCAGACAGAAGACTGAGGTCCACATGTTCTTGACCCTGCTCGGTTCTTTGGCACCTCTACCTGAGATATAAACTGTCTGACATGGAAGTACAACTCCAGAGAAGGGGGTGGGGAACCTAAGTCAAATAATATTTTGTTTTTTCACTTGGCAGAATGGGGGCTGAAGTTGAAGTTACGTTTGGTTACTAAACAATAAAGAAAGCAATATTTCTTGCATACCCGACTGTGTGGTCTGAGTTTGCTGCTGCCTACAAACCGAGAAAAAGTTGTAAAATGAAGTACTAATCTCTAGGGTTTAGGTCAGACCGAGGAGTAGTGCCACTCAGCCAGAAGCTGGCTCATGGCTGGCCAGTGCAGAGGTGGTGGCAGGAGCCTCTCCCACCTCCGTGGCAGCACTAAGAATGTCCAACTAACAGTTTAGGCCTGATCCCTTGGGGGCCTAAGCCTTTAGTCGGACATCCCCTGAGGGCTCCCTGGCTGCCAGAAGGATGTCTGACTGCAAGCTTAGGCCTGATCCCCCGGGGAGTGGGCCTAAGTCAACAGGTGGACATCCCCCAAGGGGTCCTGGACTGCAAATGGGCACAGGCCGGACTGAGGGACTCCCCCCCCCTCCCCGAGTGCACAAATTTTTGTGCACCGGGCCTTGAGTATAGGATAATTATACCTGCTACCCCATAACCCAGAGTGCCCTAGATTATACTGCTTTATTACTTTCTAGTTTGAGGTATAAAATAGTATTTTATTATTTTAATTTATATTTCCTTAATTACCAGTGGGACTGAAATTCTTTTCATATGTATTTCTAGTTGTATTTCTTGAGACTATTAATATGTTCATGTCTTTGGTTCATTTTCCCATTGGGATCTTGGTGATCTTCTCATATTTGAATAACTAACTGGCAATCTGAGGTCAAATCTAGCTCTCAGATATATTGTTTAGTCCACATGGTGTAAAAAAAAAAAAATCATTTTTAAAACTAGGAGATTTCACATTAAAATCTACATCTTTGGTTTCTCTTGAAAAAAATCAGACCTGGAAATAATCCTGCATGTAAACAATTAGATGGAGTTGAGCAACAGATGCTTCCTATCAAAGGGGTGTGAGCTCTCAAGTCCAACAATCCTTTCTCATCCAAGTTTATGACTCAGGCCCAATTCTCTCACATTACTTGCCTTACCCTTTCACACAATGAATCTATGAGCACTTTGTGCTTTATGATATTAACTCTTAATGGGGAGTACATTGAATCTATAGATTGCTTTGGGTAGTATGGACATTTTAATGATGTTGATTCTACCAATCCATGAACACGGTATGTTCTTCCATCTGTTTATGTCTTCCTCTCTTTTTTCAACATCGTGTAGTTTTCTGAGTACAGGTCTTTTACTTCCTTAGTTAAGTTTATTCCTAGGTATCTTAATTTTTTTGTTGCAATGGTAAATGGGATTGTTTTTTTAGTCTCTCTTTCTGTAAGTTCACTATTGGTGTATAGAAATGCCATAGGTTTCTTGGCGTTAATTTTGTATCCTGCTACATTACCAAATTCATTTAATAAATCTAATAATTTTTGATGGAGTCTTTGGGGTTTTCTATGTACAGTATCATGTCATCTTGAATAAGGACAGTTTTACTTCTACTTTTCCAATTTGAATGCCTTTTATTTCTTCTTCTTGTCTGATCGCAATGGCTAGCACTTCCAGTACTATGTCGAACAGGAGTGGTGAGAGTGGGCATCCCTGTCTTGTTCCTGTTCTTAGGAAAATGGTTTTAGTTTTTGCCCATTGAGTATGATGTTGGTTGTGGGTTTGTCATATATGGCTTTTATGATGTTGAGGTATGAACTTTCTTTTCCCACTGATATTAACTCTTTATCCATCCATGCCATATCATTCCATTATTTTTTCTATCTTTTTTTATTATGCTACCTTTAAATTTCTTGTCATTATATCATTTTTTAAAAAATTCCCTTTGTTGGGGAATCACTAATTATTCTCAGGAGAAATACACTGAGGATTATCCTTCTAATGACACTGCATCATTAATTCAGTAACTAATGTTCCTCCTTTCCTTCTCCAAAAAATTTTTAAGTCCTCATTAAAATCTTAGATGTTTAAACTGGAAAAAAACATTAAAGATTATATAGTGCCTAATATTTCAGATGATGGAATGAAGACTCATAAATTAAATAATCATGTCTCAGGCCTAAATCTGTCTATTAATACCTAGTTATGACTAGAGGAATGACCACTGTGGGCCAACCAAGAATGTCACTGAAAAGAAGTAAAATAAACCTGAGTAGACTTGGAATGACTCAGAGGACAGGGGACAAATGAAGAAAGACTTACTAGAAAGAGATAACTGCATAAAGAGAGGCTGTGACAGAAGAATACAAACACTGTGTTAAAGGGGCAAAAAATGTATCCATTTCACTGGAATAGAGGATTCAACTGATTGGACAAAAGCAAGTGGAGAAGGAACTATTAGGAAGGCACTAATAGTTTGGATATAAAATGAACAGGGCTGCGTTAGGGTTTTAGTAATGTCAAGAAGGGTGAAGGTCAAAGAAATCTTGAAGCATCAGTGAGACTTGGCTGTGGAACAAAGAAAACAAAATAAAAAGGTCAAGTTTGTGCGAGATGCAGGTTGAGTTTGCTAGGGCATTTGCTAAATGTTGGAATTCCCACGTATGAGCCCTGATGCTTCTTCAGTTGGACTGTGGAGGTCAGCAAGTCTTGAGCAAACAGATTTATTGCCAAAACATGTATAAGAATCTTAACTGTTAATACTCTTTGACACTGTAATTCTTTTACTAGGAATTTATCCTAAGAAAATAATCAGGATGTGCCCACAGACTTCTAAAATAAGGATGTTTGTGCTTATTGCAACCTTATTTATAACATTAAAAACTAATAAATAATCTCAATGCTCAATATAAGGGAATGATAAAATGATGAATAAATGCAAAACCTTGGTTTTGAAGAAAATGTAACAATATGTATACCTTTTACAATGAGGAAAACAATCTACCAGTGGTAACTTTCCAAGCCCCTGCTCTTGATTGATAAATATACCATACCTGGTGGGACCCACTTAGGTCTCTTGCTTTCACTTGAAGGACTGCGTATTTGTAATGGTTTCCTAGTTGCCTCTGAAGAAAGAGAAACCTTTTTTGATGAGGGCTGAGATTCTGATTTGACAGCAGCTGGAGCAGAGTCTACTGAAGTCATTTATTAGAAAAACACACATAAAACAGAGTTTAAATCCAGCATGTATGTGTAAAAATTATAGTTATATAATCTTATAAAAATTTAAAAGGCAGTATCGTTTTGAAAAACTTATTAATCAATAAACATTTACTGAAAGCCTAAGAATAACCATCTTTTATGAACATTTATATGATAGGCAGTGTAGTAAGCATATCATAAACATTATATTTAACCCTTACAGAAACTCTGATACAGATATTACTATCCCCAATGTCAGCAGTTAGGGGAACAGAGGTTGAGCAAACTGTCTGTGGCTTGATCGCTAGTAAACAATGTAATAGGATTAGGAACCAGGTCTGACTCCAAAGTTCATACTTCTAAACATTGCATTAAGTGTCTCATTAGTATGTGTCAGTGAGTCAATATATTAGCATCTAGGGCAGCGGTTCTCAACCTGTGGGTCGCGACCCCTTTAGCGGTCGAATGACCCTTTCACAGGGGTCGCCTAAGACCATCCTGCATATCAGATATTTATATTACGATTCATAACAGTAGCAACATTACAGTTATGAAGTAGCAATGAAAATAATTTTATGGTTGGGTCACAACATGAGGAACTGTATTTAAAGGGCCAGAAGGTTGAGAACCACTGTATTAGCAAGTACTCAACACCATGCTATTTAAGGCAAGAGCAACTCCTACCATTAATAAATGGAGCCTGAATAATGAAAATTTTAGTTTCAAAAAAGCATTTCTATTAAGTAAATAACACATAAAAATATATATCAACAAGTGAAACATATCAGTTTAATGAAAGTTATATTATAATAGTCTACCATAGATCATGAATTAAAAATATCCTAACTTTTTAAAAAAATATATTTTATTGATTTTTTTACAGAGAGGAAGGGAGAGGGAAAGAGAGTTAGAAACATCATTGAGAGAGAAACATCGACTAGCCGCCTCCTGCACACTACCTACTGGGGATGTGCCCGCAACCAAGGTACACCCTTGACCGGAATCGAACCTGGGACCCTTGAGTCCGCAGGCCGACGCTCTATCCACTTAGCAAAACCGGTTAGGGCTATCCTAACTTCTTTTACAAAAGAAACAAGTATTCCATGTTGAAATTATCAAAAATTGCAAAAGTTTCATTGTAGAAATGATTTCTAATGGAATTAGTTTTGAAAAAAACAAAAAGGCCCTAAACATGTGGCAAAAGGGTTCTCAAATAAAAGATTAAACAAGCATGAAAGCAAGAAGTTAGAATCATGCAAAGTTGCCTGGAGAAAACGTGGTCCAGTGGATAGAGTTTACACCAGGAATGGGCAAATCTGGGTGCAAATCCCAGCCCCTCACTTATTAGTTGTAAGAATTTCAACAAATTATTTAAACTCTTTGAGCCTCAGTTTTCTCACTGCAAAATGCAGGTGATAACTGCTATATCAGAGGGTGGCTGTCAGTGCTAAAGGGAGGTAATACACAGGAAGTGCCAGATAGGTGGTGGAGCTCATTACTCTTGTCTGCTGTTCTCCCTTCCCCACCCCACCCTACTTTTCTCTATGTATTTTAACCAGAAATGAACACTGGCAAACCTTAAGGAGACCAAAGGCAAAGATAAAAGAAACTCATTAAGTAAATTAAATACATTTTCTTTAAACTAAGCTTACCTAATGAATTACATTTGGATTTAGCTTTCTTCTCTTTCTTTACAACTGGAGATTTAACCTTCACTTCTTTCTTTTTAATTTCTTTACTTTTTCTCATAGTGAAGTCTTTATCATTATCTTCACTCTCACTAAAATCAGAATCATCTTCAGAATCTTCACCTAAAACAAAAGATTATATGCTTTAGTTTTGTTATAAAAAGTAAGGCTTCTATGGCCTTGACTTTACAGCTTTTGCACCAGATTCTTGTGTAAATTTGTGCTAAGTCATTTCCTGTGTGAAACACTGCAATTATGGAGAGCATGGTTCCCTGAATTTGAATCCTGGCCCCTCCACCTACATGTTGTGTGACCTCAGACAGGTTGCTTGCTAACCGCACTGTGCCCCAGTTTCCCATGTCTAAGGTAGGGATAACCACAAAACCTACGTCACAGGGTTGTTGTGTGGATTAAATGAGTTAATATAGGTAAAGCATGTGCAATAACATCTGGCTTACAGCAAGCAAAGTAGAATTGTTTGCTATTACTATTATCATTATAATTTCCCATTAGTAATCTTTACTTCCGATTTTACCAGTTTAGCTCAGTAACTTTTTAAAACAATAGTAGGATATAACATTGGCTACTCTTTCAAAATGATAACCTTGGTGGTATTAATAACAGTACACCTTCCCTTAATCACATAAACTTAGCATTCTAGAACAGAAACACATTGGGAATTGAGGGTGACTGAGGGTGGCATCGCAACCTCCCGATCCGCCCTGCTCTGTGCATGATGGGGCGGCGCCCCAACTCCCCAATCAGCCCTGCTCTGAGCCTGACCAGGGGCTGCACTTAGGGATTGGGCCTGCCCTCTGCCACCCGGGAGCAGGCCTAAGCCAGCAGGTCGTTATCTCCCGAGGGGTCCCAGACTGCAAGAGGGCACAGGCCAGGCTGGGGGACCCCCCTCCCCCGCCCCCCGAGTGCACAAATTTTTGTGCACCGGGCCTCTAGTTATCATTATAATTTCCCATTAGTAATCTTTACTTCCGATTTTACCAGTTTAGCTCAGTAACTTTTTAAAACAATAGTAGGATATAACATTGGCTACTCTTTCAAAATGATAACCTTGGTGGTATTAATAACAGTACACCTTCCCTTAATCACATAAACTTAGCATTCTAGAACAGAAACACATTGGGAATTGAGGAGACTAACCATACCACAACAAGCTTAATAGATCCTATATAATAAAAGCCTAATATGCAAATCAACCAAACGGCAGAATGACCGGTCACTATGATGCGCAATGACCACCAGGGGGCAGACGCTCAACGCAGGAACTGCCCCCAGCCCACAGGCCCCAGGCCAGCTAAGGCGGGTGCCAGCGGGGGTCCCCTGACCCCCCACCAGTTGCTCCTCAGAGAGAGGCAACCAGTGGCTGTGGTGGGGGGCGGGGTCAGCAAGTGGGTATTGCCAGGCCCACTAAGGCAGGTGCCAATGGGGGGCCCCTGATCACCCCACTGGTCACCCCACAGATTGGCCCTGATCGCTGGCCAGGCCTAGGGACCCTACCCGTGCATGAATTTCATGTACTGGGCCTCTAGTAATGCTATATGATTTCATTTGGGACATACCTTTAATTTCCCACAAAGTCTTATCTGGGATGATATAAACCAGTGATATAATGTTAAGTAAGCACAGCTGCTCTGGGAAAAAATATGGAGAATACTTAATAGTTAAGCAATACATGCTTACTGCAGAACATATAGACCATATACAAAAAGTATTAAAGAAAAAGAAGGTCCACTCCCTAATCTCACCACTCAGAGATAACCACTGTTATGCCCACCATATATAATCTCTACCTATCTATATGAAATATATTTTATATAAAAAATACATGAGAAATTTCAAACATATACAACAGTAGATAATAAACTGTTCAACAATCCTTAATATTTTGATGCATTTGTTTCATCTATCTACCTTTTCTTCTTCTTTTCTCACCCCTTTCCTTCTTGGAGTTCATTAAATCTGAAGTATTGTGTCATTACACTCCTATACACTTCAGAATGCATCTCTAAAACACATGGGTTTAAAAAAAAAACAATGTCATTATCATATCAATTTAATAATAGCTTCTTGGTATTACCTTCTATTCAGTTCATATTTATCACTTTTTATATAGTGCAATACCCCCTCTCTTTTAGGACCCCCATGTCTTTGACTTGTTGAAGTAACCAAGTCAGTTGTCCTATAAAATGCCCACATTATGGATTTGTCTGTTTTTCCTTCCTCATGGTGTCATTTAATTTGTTCTTGCATTTTCTGTGAGCTGTAGTTTCCTTAGGACTGAATTAGAATCAGGCTCACCTTATTATTTTTTGGTAAGAATATACTTCATAGGTGATGCTCTGTACTTCATGTTATATCATATCAGAAAGCACATAATGTGGTTGTCCCACTCTTTGTTGGTTCAGTTGAGGCCAGCCTGAATTCTCCACTGTAAAGATCCTCATCAGCCTCCTGATGATCTTTGCCTAAATTAACGATGGTCATTATGATCTTCAAATTAGAATTTCCTTATTCTGCCATTCTTTCCACACAAATAAAATGTTTTAAAAGAGCAATAAACCCACATATTCACATGATGATTATTGTTATATGGAATTAGCCATATAAGGCCAGCAGATGTCATAAAGGCTGTTATAAGGAGTGCCTTGCAAAATCAAGTTATTTTTTCTGGAGTGCCAAAAAGACCTAGGTTCAGGGGGGCAGCAAGTAGTAGAAAGTTTCTCCAAAATTTTAGAATATAAAATCTAGGAGGACAAAAATTCCTATGCATCCAACAGTTCTGGTATTGCATGTGTTCTTTTCTTGGCTGGAGAGAATAAACAGTAGGAACTGAGTTTCTCTATTGAACAAGCTTATTAAAAGATGGCGTCCAACTGCTCTTCATCAGTCAACTGAGAAAGCAGTTAAATAATTTGGAGCTCCCAGAATCCCAAGTTACTAGCATACCGGATTAGAAAATCTGGAAGGCCCAAACACTGAGGTTATGGATTCTGGGGATCATTAGATTTTCTTAAGAAAAGTCTTATGTTTCCTCTAATTTTCACTTTTCTTTTCCAACTGAAGTTCACAGATGACCCTTTCTCTTCTCATCTAGGGTGAGCCAATGCAGGGGGGAAGCAGACAGGTCACCTAAAGAACCCTGCTTTTAAAAAAAAAAGCCCCTACAAGGTTATCTGAACTGTAACAGTTGCACATTCAAGTATAATAAAAATCAATTCTAAGGGGTTTGGAGAGTTGTTAGTCATTATGGGCTTAGGGTGAATGAAAATAAACTGACTGTATGCAACTTAAAGTACAATAGGCAAGAAGGAATATATTTATATTTCAATTTAAGGTAACGCAGGCTTGGCTGGAGTAGATTAGAAGGTTTATAAGACAGCGAAAGGCTTTTGCATTCTTGGGTTGGAGGACAGAAGAGGAGTCAGAAAATTAGAGAGGCAATGAAAAAATTTTGCTTGAAGCTTAGTTTGTATATCCACAGCACAGGTTAGAGGGCAATTATCACTTTTCAGCTAATGAGCTAGTTCCCTGTAATGTTTCTCAGGGCTGGACCACATGTCTTTTTATAGGGAGAATAGCCACACTTGTAGTTTGGTGGAAGCCATAAAAATGAAACAGAAAGAACAAAACAAAACAAATTAGCTCTCAAAGATCTAAAGAAGCAGTCATTTTAGTCTATAAGTAACACAAGAAGATCAAGAACTTTTGCATCTTGCACAACAAAACTTAAGAATTTTTTAAAAGATTTTTAAATTGATGTTTAGAGAGAGAGGAAGGAAAAGGGAGAAAAACATCGATATGAGGCAACATCAATCAGCTGCCTCCTCCACACCCCATACTGGGGATTGATCCCAAAACCTGGGCATGTGCCCTGACTGGGAATCGAACTGGCAACCTTTCAGTGTATGGAATGATGCCCAACCAACTGAGTGAGCCACACCAGCCAGGAAACAGAACCCAAGAATTTTTAAGTGTCTATTACTACATAAACTACTAGCATCATTTTATCCCAGTGTCTTAACCAGTCTAACATCCAATAACTCAAACATTCCATTAATTGACAAATAATTTTTATCACAATGGCTTCCCATTGTAATTATTCTCCTATTGCAGTTATAACAACCCTCATTATTAGAATTCCAGTAAAATCACAATTTGACAACCATGTTTTCCCCAAACAACTACAGGTCTTGAATCTGTCTAAGGAAAAATAACTTTCAGTTAGAAATATTTTTTGCCATTCTCTTATCCAGCATAACTTCGGATGTTTCAACCAATGTTTTCTTTCCTGTTTTTCATGTTTTCTATATCCCAAATTGCTGTTCAACTGTATGGAACTCAAAATAAAAATATATTCTCTCAAAACTATGACTTATATTTCATCTAAAAAATGTTTGCTTATGCAAAATTGAGTAAGAAAAAAACCTAGAACCAAGCTATTTACTTTTTTAACTCATTATTTCCTTTAAAATGTTTTTAATTGTGGTAAAATTTACTAACCTAAGCTTTTTTAAGTGTACAGATCAGTAGTGTTAAGTACATATATTCACATTTTTGTGCAACCATCCTCCAGAACTTTTAATCTTGCAAAACAGAGATTCAGTACCCATTAAACAACTCTCCATTCCTTCTCTCCCCAGTCTCTGCTAATCACCATTCTACCTCTGTTTCTATGAATTTGACATTTTAGATATCTCATATAAGTGGAATCACAGTGATTGGCTTATTTTACTTAACATAATGTCCTCAAGGTTTATCCAAGATATAGCATGTGACAGGATTTCTTTCCTTTTTAAGGTTGAATAAAATTCCATTGTATGTATATACCACATTTTGTTTATGCATTCATCATCAAGGATATTTGGATTGCTTCCATTTCTGGGCTTTTGGTAATAATGCTGCTATGGGTGTGCAAATATCTGAGACCCTGCTTTCAATTCTTGTAGATATATACCCAGATGTGGAAATGCGAGATCATATGGTAGTGTTGCTTTTTAAATCCTCACCCGATTTTTTCCATTGATTTTTTTTTAGAGAGAATGGAAGGGAGGGAGGAAACAGGGGGGCGGGGGAAGAGAGAGAGAGAGGGGTGGGAGAGAGAAGAGAGAAACATCAATGTGAGAGACACTTGGATTGGTTGCCTCTTTCATGTGCCTCAATTGGGGCTGGTGATTGAACCTGCAACTCAGGTATGTGCCCTTGACCAGGAATCACATCCAAGACCCATCAGCACAGGCCGTTTGCTCTAACCACTGAGAAACACCAGCTAGGGCTGGCAGTTCTATTTATTATTTTTTGAGTAACTGCTATACTGTTTTCCATAGTGGTTGCTTCATTTTACATTTCCACCAACAGTGCACAAGGATTCTAATTTCTCCACACCCTCACCATCACTTGCTCTTTTCTGTTTTTTAATATCCTAATACAGTGATGGTGAACCTATAACACGCGTGTCAAAGGTGAAAATATCAAAAATATAAGTCTTTGTTTTACTATGGTTGCAAATATCAAAAAATTTCTATATGTGACACGGCACCAGAGTTAAGTTAGGGTTTTTCAAAATGCTGACACGCCGAGCTCAAAAGGTTCGCCATCACTGTCCTAATAAGTTGTGATGTGAAATCTCATTGTGGTTTTGATTTGTTTATATCTACAATACAGTGCACATAATACTGAAATATCGCTACTGATTAGTAACATTAAGCCTCTTTTCATATGCTTTTTGGCCATTTGTGTATAATCTTTGCAGTGGTTCTCAACCTTGGCTGCACATTAGAATCACCTGGGAATCTTTTTAAAATGGCCACAACATTAGTAACAAAGAAACAGAATTTCCGGAGGATGAGGCCCAGAAATCAGGATTTTAAAAAGATTCCCAGGTGATTCTAATGTGCAGACAAGGTTGAGAACCACTGCTTTAGAGAAATGTCTATTCAAGTCCTTAACTATTTACTTTTAAGAGTAGAGGAGCAGTTTTATTTTTAAAAATTTTTGTTTTGTTTTGTTAATACTAACCCAAGAATATTTTTCCATTGATTTTTAGAGAGAGTGGAAGGGGGAGGAGAGAAAGAGAAAAAGAAACATCAATGTGAGAGAGATATATAGATTGGTTGCCTCCTGCACGCACTCCAACCGGGTCAGGGCTGGAACTTGCAACCCTGGTATGTGCCCTTGACCAGGAATCAAACCATTCAGTGCTCAGGCCAACACTCTAACCACTAAGCAACACTGGCCAGGGCCAGGGGCAATTTTAAAGTCACTATTCAAATCAGGATTTCCAAAAAACTTACTATTATAAAATGGTTCAAGAGAGATTATCTGAGGTTGGAATGCAAATAACACAATGGTATTCTTTTTAAATATCTATCACCTACTAGAAACATAACTCACAAATTCCAAAAACTCAACAAGCAAAGCAAGTGATTTCACTTCCACAAACATAACCAACGTTTTGGTCCTTTATTAATTTTGTTAGTGTGCTAAGCAGTCTTGCAAGTTATAACTTCAGAATTGTTTACTGCTTTTTCTGACAGGCATACATCAAATAATGATAATAATATTCTGGGGGTGTTACAATTATTATCCCTGGAAAAGACATTGAAATTGCCAAGGAGGTATTTTGATTATATTGGGGTTTTTATATTAAGTAACCTTAAGTTGGGAAGCATTTAGTCCATGCTCTGCTATGCTCTGGTATTTTCTTTCACTGGCTCCTACTTTTTGGCACTCCACTTATATTAGTGGTTCTCAAAGTAAGACCCATAGACCACCTGCTCTGGGATTACCTGTCATGTAGAAGGGCAGGAATTGGTTAAAAAGGCAGATTTCTGGGCTCTAACCTGTCTTTCTCTTCTTCATGGCTTTTCTATGATGGCACTGGACACATTATGTATACCAAGTCTCAAATAACATTGTTTTGGTCTTTTTGTTACAACGTTGAGATGCTACAGAAACTTAACTCTTGCTTATATCAGTTACCCTATGGTAAAATTGATTTCATTATACATCATTTCGCTTTAAGTAAGAACTTACCATATTTGATTACTGTCCGTTCCCCTCAAATTTAAGCTCCTAAAGGGATGTTTTTTTTCACTGCTATATCTCTGATGTCTACAATATAGTGCACATAATAGGCACTCAAATATTTGTGGAATAACTGTTAATTAGCAAATCTGTTATTGTTTGTCAACAGCATGTTAAAATCTATCAAACCACAGCATCTGATTTGGAATAAATTGATGGAATTATTCATTTTAATCTTTAGTTAATATGTCATGATGTACTATCAAGGTTACTATGCCTTCCCATTTACCCTACTTTCTGAATGAGTCTGAAAACAACTGTCATAATAAAATATAGATTTCATATCACTTCTATCCAAAATATTTCATGAATTTCTATTACTTACAGAAAGAAGTCTACACTTCTTGGAATGGGTCTGAGATGTTCTGTAATTTAGTGCCTGCCTGCCTCTCGAGCCTCTTCTACGACATTCTCCCCTGCAGGCCTCACTGAACTCTTGTACGTGCACTTGTCTATCCCATTATTTATGCCTATCAGTCAGAAACACTATTTTCCCTCTTTAGTCTGCCTACATGCTACTCAGTTTTTAAGGCATGGCTTATAGGTCATCTCCAGGTGAAGCTCTTCCCCCAAATGCCAAAGCTGAACTCAGCTGTCCTGTGTGTTCCTCAAGTTTGTATTTAGCACAGCACTTTACATACATTAATGGTCTCTAGAGCATTTTACCTAATTGCCATAGAATTTGGAGGTAGGATGTAACTTACCAGTTGCAAAGTCTGGTTCGGAGTCATTCGCACTGTCGCCATCACTGCCTTCCAAAAGGATCTTCCTCTGCTGAACCACAGCTTTAGATGCTGCTTTTCTTCTCCCTTGAGCGACATGAACATCATCTTCCTCAGTAATCTTATCCAAATCTTCAGGCAGGCATAAAAATCAATGGAAAACTTTGTGTGACAGGCAATATTTACAGAAGCGAGAATAGACTCCAATTACATCTGTTTTTCTAATTTGCCCAGCTTCATCCTTTCCCTGTTTCTAGTAATACACCACAGAGCCCAATCTGGGCCAATCATAACACATCTGTCTCCTGACAACAGAGTCTGGTTTAAGAATAAGTCAAGAACCCCAAATGAGAGAGTCTCTCCCTAAGAATTTTCAGACTGAAGCTGGGAAGATACAGCCTCTTTCTTCAGTGGTCAACTGCTGTTGATTAGAAGCCATGAGTAGGTACTCCTGACCCTTCACCAGGGAAGAAGTTGGATCTACCATAAGAGAGAAGAAAACCAAAACAGAAAGAAACAGAGAGAGATGAAGAGAACCTTGACAAAATTAAAGACCTTGGATCTAACTACAGTTTCAGGAATTAAAACACAAGGTAGAAAAATAGCATTGTTGTAATAAACAAATATTATTACTATAAAAAAACTTACCTAAATAATCACTGGCTACACTGCAATTGGAGATATGGGGAGACTTATCCATTGTTTCTCTTTCACTATTGTCATGTTTTTCACTGCCTAAATATAAGGAACAGGTAAGAAAAAAACAGATGTACCTTAATCAACCAATGTCTAGAAGTAGGAAGATTAGTGCTAAATGTAATAGCATCCAGATACATATAAGTGATCCAAACTCAGACTAGCACTTTACTTGGAGAGGCAGGCATAGTGTTAGGAGTTTGGGGACTTAATCAGAGTTAATCAGACTTAAGCTCAAAGTCAGGCTCTACTAATTATAGGACCAGGGGAAAGTTGCTTATCCTCTCTAAGACTTAATTTCCTCATCTATAATATGGAGATAAAAATAGTGTGGCAATTGCCCTGGCCGGTTTGGCTCAGTAGATAGAGCATCAGCCTGTGGACCAAAGGGTCCCAGGTTCGTTTCCGGTCAAGGGCATGTACCTGGTTGCAGCGTCCTCCCTGGCCTAGGCCCTAATCGGGGCCCATGCAGGAGGCAACCAGTCGATGTGTTTCTCTCACATAGATGTTTTTCTCTGTCTTTCCTTCTCTCTTCCACTCTCTCTAAAAATCAATGGAGTGTGTCTTCAGGTGAGGATTAAAAAAATTTTTTTAAGTAGTGTGGGAATTAAATGAGGTTATTGTATGGGATTAAATGTCAATCACATATGAAAATTGCTTGTTGTAATGCCCAGTACATAGGAAACAGTCAATAAATATTAACTATATTAACTATTATTTCTGTGTAGGCATATCCATGTTTTCACTAGCAAAAGACTTTTCAATCATTATAATAACCTTAAAACGATCTAAAGTATTTTAAGAGAACTTTACGTCATGATAATTGGTGCTGTTAAACTGCAGTGCTATAAAGTATGTTATTCTATGAGAAGTGGTACTTCTAAGGAATACCTGCTATACAGAGATGAATTTCACTTTCTCAATTTTAGATATATGACAATTAATGTTTTAAGTTTCTTTGATTCCTGATTACTAAAAGGACCTCTAATCAACACTGTCTCATTTATTTTCAAATAGAAAACAATAGTGATTAAAAACCTATACCCCTACATAAGCTAATAGGCTAAAAATATCCTCCAACATAAAGGAATTTAAGCCAAAACAATTTAATCCAAAATCATTTTTTAAAAATATATTTTTATTGATTTCAGAGAGGAAGGGAGAGAGAGAAATATCAATGATGAGAGAGAATCACTGATTGGCTGCCTCCTGCACGCTCCCTACTGGGAATCAAGCCTGCAACCAGGGCATGTGCCCTTGACTGGATCGAACCTGGGACACCTTGTTCTGCAGGCTGATGCTCTATCCACTGAGCCAAACCAAGTAGGGCAATCCAAAATTATTTTAAAAGTTTGAATGTCTCATCCAGCAATAATGATTTCTGCCTCTTAGAATATCAATATTGCCACCTGCTGCAGTTGCCAGAAAAATCAAAGAAAAACTCCAGAGAAATTCAGAAATCATAGATCCTTTAAGTCTACTGAGCTTGCTAAACTAATACTGTTAACCTCTGTAAATAATAAAAATTACCATCATTAGGTCATGTTTAACTAATTTGAATTTTGAGAGAAAGGAGGTAGATAGTTAGGATTGTATAGATCAATTCATTTGATCAAAAAAAGAAATTTTCGCTGTATACAAAGATGTAATTTGAACATCTGAGTGCATAGTCCATGTCGTGAGTTTACTTTGGGTGTTAAGCAGAGAGGTATGTACTAGTATTATGAGATTTATGCAACAGAATAAACAATTGAACCCAATTATACCCTCTGCAAATTGCAATATTTATAGTCCAAAGTATTGAAATTTATTCTTTTCTCTGTGAAGTCTCATTCAAAGAAATGATTACAAAGCAATAAGAACCTTATGGAAATAAATATATAGAAAATAAAGTTACTTTCACCTTGAGACCCCTCCACATCAATGGTGACTATTGGAAGTTCCTTCGCTGATAATGCCAGTGCAACTTGTAAGTCTCTCTGGTAGAGTTTGTCATCTAAAGCCATCCTAGAGTAGACACACAAATAATAATGTTTTTAAAATTATTGATCTCAAACAGAAAAATTTGATTTTCCTGAATTACTATTTAAGAGTGGCTAACCTTACAAAAATGTTTTTAAACAATAATCACGATCATAATCGATCTCTAAGGATGACTTCTAAAATGTCGCAATGTCATTTTATAACTATCAGAAGAGATTTGAAATAGGAGCAGCATGTGCTGTTACACTTACTGTTTCCTTTTACTGTCTGTCCTTTCTACTAGTTCCACTCAGGTGGGAAGCACCTGCTCAACACAGAATAAAGACTTGGCTCAAACGTAATTTCCACTTAAAAATCTCCATGACCTCACCCACACCTCCTTAGACAGCTCTTGTAGGTCTTATATTTAATGTAAACATATTTAATTTGTTCCTCCCAATGTAGACTTTAACAAATATTTCACCAAGTACTTACTGTGTATGAGGTACTGCACTAGATAGGATACAAAAGTACAGTAAAACCTCGATATAACGGACTAATTCGGGTGAGGGGGTGTCCATTAAAGCTGAAAGTCCGTTACACAATAAAGTAGATTTTCTGCATGGGTATGTTAAAAATTGACAAATTAGTTTACCTGTTTTTACTTAGGTAGACATGCTTGTATAATTAAAATTAAGAATGTATGAAAAGTTTAATTTCACAGAAAAGTATTTTGTACGTTCACTAAGTTTGTACTGGATAGGTCTAGTAAATGTGTGCACTCACCAGTCATGCAAGTAAAAAAATGTACATGGCTGGGGTGTGGCTTAGCACATATGGGAACGTCAGCCTGCACACATTAAAACTGCTGCAGAAAGTCACACCCTGCGACAATAGAACCAATTACCTCGAGAAATACCATGTGATCACGTGCTAATCATGCCCCGAACACTGTTTACAAGTGGTGACTCTTAGATTTAAATATCCTATATAATAAAAGGCTAATATGCAAATTGTCCCCTCGACCGGGAGCTCAACCCGGAGTTCGACCAGGGGGCAAGGCCGGCCAACTGACCGCGGCCCCTCCCCCTGGCTGGCCCAGCCCCATCGGCCCCAATTGGGTAGACCGGCATCCCCCTGGCTGGCCCAGCCCCATCGGCCCCAATTGGGGTAGACCGGCAAGACCCCACCCGTGCATGAATTCATGCACTGGGCCTCTAGTGTAGACTATAGTTGTAAATATGTAGTATTTATTTATGTCGGTGAAATTACTACAGTTTTGTCCAACATATGGCCTATTCGCTAAAATTTGTTAAAAATAACAGTGAATTAATAACAAAAATTAACCTGTTATTTTAATTATGAGCAAATCTTGGTTAAAAGCATTTTAAAACAAAGTGTTCATTTGCACATATGACATATACAGATCAGAAATTTTGTTGTTAAATAGAGGTCTGAAAAATCAAGGGTTTGCTGTACCATCAAGGAGTCTGCAATTAATGAGGGTGGGGAAATAAGACATACTTATAAATTATCCCACATAAGCAGATTATTATGTCTCCTATTCAAGATGGTGAAAAGTGCTATGGTGTGTAAAAGGAAGAGAAATCAAAAACAGATAGGGAAAGATTGCATGAAGGAGGAAAATCTGGAGTGTATCTTGAAGGATTTATTATTTTTTTAAATAGCAACTTTATTAAGATGTAATTCACATAGCATAAAATTCATCTTTTTAAAGTGTACAATTCAGCAGTTTTTAGTGTATTTACAGTTGTGAAACCATCACAACTTTTTTATCACCCCCCCAAAAAAACCCTGTATACATTAGCATTTATTCCCCATTTACCTCTACCCAGCATCTGGCAACCACTAATCTACTTTCTGTTCTTCTGGACTTGTCTATTCTGCACACTGTGTATTAATGGAATCATAAAATATGTGGCCTTTTGTACCTGATTTCTTTTCATCAGCATAATGTTTTCAAGGTTCATCCATGCTACAGTATACAGTATATCAGTACTTCATTTTTGTTGTTGTTGATAAATATAGTATTCCACTGTACCAATATACCACATTATCTTTTCATCAGTTAATAAACATTTGGATTGCTTCTAATTTTTTTTTGGCTATTCTGAATAAAGCTGCTACATTCAGGTACAGGTTTCTGTGTAGTCATAGGTTTTCATTTCTCTTGGGTATATGCCTAGACTGGGTCATGTAATAACTCTGTGTTTAACATTTTGAGAAACTGTTACTCTGTCTTCCAATGTAGGTGTACCATTTTATATTCCCAGCAGCAATGTATGAGAGTTCTAATTTCTCTGCATCCTCCTTAACATTTGTTATTACCTGTCTTTTTTATTATGGCCATTCTAGTGGGTGTGAAGTATAATCTCACTGTCGTTTTGATTTGCATTTCCCTGATGACTAAGGATGGTGAGCGAACATCTTTTCATGTGCTTATTAGTCATTTTTGTATCTTTTTTTTGAAAAATGTCTACTCAAATCTTTTGCCCACTTTTTAAACTGTATTATTAGTGTTTTTATTGTTGAGTTGTAAGAGTTTTTTAAATATTCTGGATACAAGACCCTCATCAATTATATGATCTTGTCTCCCATTTGTGGGTTGCTTTTTTCACTATATTTAAAATGTAGTCCAAGAAGCTCAAAAATAGGAAAACAAAAATAAGAGAAAAAGATAAAGAGAATGACATGGGCTACATTTCTCTTTGATAATTAACTTTTCTCATACTTGCAGCAATAAACCATCACATGCCCCATTTTTCATGTGTTAATATTCCTCTTCTGGCCTTCTACTCTCCATACAACATGTTTTGAGCCCCTCAGGACTTCCCTAACTCTCTCAGTACTAACTAATGGAATTCAGAAATACTACAGAAACTGTAGGATTTTCTCACTGCTGAACAAGTCTTAACAATATAAAGAAAAAATATCTTTTATCTGCTGAAAACTGTTTTTAAATTTTATAAAACTGTCCTTACAAATATAATTTTTAACAAAGTAGTCTTGTAAAACTTGAAGACTTCAGAGACAGGTACAAGGTCCTATAAAAGTAAACTATAACCACCAAACTTTGTATGATTACCTTAATAATTAAATGGATATTTGCTTACATACTTGTGAATTTCTTTTTAAAAAGTTTTTTTAAAATCCTCACCTGAGGATATGCTTTATTGATTTTGAGAGAGAGAGAGAGAGAGAGAGAGAGAGAGAAACATTGATGTGAATGGGAAACATTAATTGGTTGCCTCCCTTATGTGCCCTGACCTGGGATCAAACCCACAAACTAGGTATGTCCCCTGATGGGGAACTGGGACTTGAACCTGCAACCTTTTGGTGTATGGGATGACCAAATAAGTCACCGAAACATTAATTGGTTGCCTCCCTTATGTGCCCTGACCCGGGATCAAACCCACAAACTAGGTATGTGCCCTGATGGGGAACTGGGACTTGAACCTGCAAACTTTTGGTGTATGGGATGACATTTCAACCAAATAAGTCACTGAGTCAGGGCTGTGAATTTCTTTTTTAAGTCAGAAAGCCAGATGGGGATTAATAATACAACCCTGTTCTCCTACAGGCACTAAATAAAATCATACCTATGACTCTGCTCAAGCTCTCATTTAAACCAAGAGTTTGAATCTGTTTCTCTCTCTCTTTTTTAAAAAAAATATATTTTATTGATTTTTCACAGAGAGGAAGGGAGAGGGATAGAGAGCTAGAAACAGCAATGAGAGAGAAACATCAATCAGCTGCCTCCTGCACATCCCCCACTGGGGATGTGCCCGCAACCAGGGTACATGCCCTTGACTGGAATCAAACCTGGGACCCTCCAGTCCGCAGGCCGACGCTCTGTCCACTGAGCCAAACCGGTCAGGGCTCTCTCTTTTTTTAAAAATTTAAATTCTTTATTGTTTAAATATTACATGAGTCTCCTTTCTCCCCCATTGATCTCTTCCCAGCTGCTCCCACCCCCAGCACATGTCCTCACCCTCCTACTGTCTGTGTCCATTGGTTATGCTCATGTGCACGCATACAAGTCCTTTGGTTGATCTCTTACCCCCTCACCCCCGCCTTCCCTCATAGGTTGAACAGTCTGTTTGATGCTTCTATGTCTGTGATTCTATGTTTGTTCATCAGTTTATGTTGTTCATTATATTCCACAAATGAGTGAGATCATGTGATATTTATCTTTCTCTGACTGGCTTATCTCATTTGTTTCTCTTTTAAATTAAAGTTGTATATTTACTGCATGTCTTACCTCTCACCTTTTTTTAGGAGTTTTCTCTTGTAATGGGATGTCTTCTTTCTGGAGATTCTTCAATTTGGGTTTTGGTTTTTCTAGTTTTAATTCGTTTGGTGTTCTGGATTTCTTATTTAAAGGTCCAGTTGCAGAAACAAAATCATCATCATCTACTATGTGTGAATTAAAAATAAAAGAATATATAAAATTGCTTTTTCTAAGTAAGAAATAAATAAAATTATTTTCTTAGCAGTTGAAATTCATTATAGTGTGTGTTCAAATTATAAGGTTAAGCAAATTATTTAATTTCTACAATTTAAAAAATATTGTTGGCATATTATTTGTCTTTATTCTCACTCCTGTTTAATTTTGTTTTAGTAAACTTTATTTATCAATCTATCAAAAATGTCAATCTATCAAAAACCAATTCACTAAAAAGCTGGTATATCTCTGTTGTACTCAACATAAAACTGCTGCTGTAGCTTTTAAACTTACACATGACACATGCATGCATACTTTCAGGGTACATGTAGTCTTAATAATATACCTTAGTATTTATTAATATACTAGAAGCCCGTTTCAGGAGGATTCCTGCAAGAATAGGGTTTCCTTGGGCCGATCATGCCGCCAAGCCCCTCCGCCCAGGGCCGCAGACGGGGTCCCGCCCGCCCGGGCTGCACACGGGGCTCCCAGCTGGGGGCGGGGCTTAGGCGGCACATGGGGGCCCGGATGGCGGCTCGCACTGGCCCGCCCTGCCTGCAGTATGCAAATTAGCCGCCATCTTTATTGGCGGTTAATTTGCATATCGCACTGATTAGCCAATGGGGGGCATAGCGAAGTTATGGTCAATTACCATGTTTGTCTATTATTCGATTAGATGCTGTATGTATTATGCTTCCTCATGCAGGAATATAATAACTTGTGACTTGCCCCCACACCTACCCCATAATGTTTGGAACACAACCAGCAATTTACAAATATTTGGTGTGAGATAGATGAGAGTGATAAAAAGCTACAAATTATCTATATACTAGAGGCTCTGTGCACGAATTCCTGCACCGGTGAGGTCCAGCTGGCCGGCCCGATGGGGGCCGATCAGGACAGGGCTGGCCGGGGAGAGGGGCCGTGGGAGGTTGCAGGGGGACTGATTGGGACCCCCATCAGGCCGGTTGGCTGCCACAGTGTGCATCATAGCAACTGGTTGTTCCGCCATTCTGGTCACTTGGCTTTTATATTATAGATATGAAAGGCTAACATGCAAAGTATCCCCTCAGGAGTTCAACTGGGAGACTGATCGCTCCCTATGATGTGCGCTGACCACCAGAGGGCGGTGCGGAATGAAGGAAGGCCTTGGCCAGCAGCCAACAGCTGGGGAAGGGAGGCCCCGGCCGGCAGCTGAAAGGCCCCAATCAGCCCTGATCGCCAGCCAGGCCTAGGGGCCCTACCCGTGCACAAATTTCATGCACCGGCCTCTAGTATTATTCTATATTATTTTCTCCTAAGTCCTAGACCTACTTAAGGCTATGCCCAAGACAAAAAAAACAAACCCCAAAACACAGATTCCTTCAAACCTCAGAGTAACTAAGTATTTGATTCACAAAAATCTCTTATGGTCTGAGAAATACAAAACCTGCTTCAAAGTATAATGTAGTCTAACCCCATATTTATCAAACACTTTTTATTAATTAAATTTATTGGGATGACACTGGTTCACAAAATCATACAGGTTTTAAATGGATAGCTCAATAAAACATCACCTGCACACTGCATCATGTGCCCATCGCCCCAAGCAGTTTCTTCCAGTCCCCATTTCCCTCCCACTTTACCCACTTCCACCTAGCCCCCACCCTTCTTTCCCTCTGGCTATCACCACACTGTTCACTGTTGTCTGTGTCTGTGTTTTGACTAAAATTCCCTTAATAGGAGAGATAAATAAACAGGGTATAGCTTAAGCCTAACCTTTCTTCAAGGTTTTGTTTTATTGTACAATTAATGGGAATTTCCCTTCATATTCTGTAACACATTTGTGTCAAAAAACAAACAAAAAAAAATGCAGTGTCTCAAAAAAAAAAAAAGCAGTCTCTCCTCCAAAGTGAAGAGTCAAACCTCACTTTGAGAAACAGGCACTTGCAGTAGTTTTGACCTAAAGAACTACTTTACCTGGCCCTCTCATTTATCACTTACCTACATAATTCTCATCAATGTAATTATCAGCATAATTATCCCAAATGCTTAGAAAATTACTTTTCCAGACCTACCACATATGCAATATATTTCTGAGGAAATAAATTTCCAAAACTTTAAACAAAATAAGAATCTCTACATACCATCGCTTTCGGAGTTCTCAAACTGTGAGTAATTGACTGGCTTCTTATTCCTATAACCAACACAGAAATTTTTCATTTACACAAATGTGAAAAAAATAATTTCCTTCCTCTAGGCACTAAATGAAATGGTCCTCTGCCAAATTCCCAAGTGTGAATGACCTAGTATGTCAGTTGCTCTTTTAAGTAAAAACAGTTTTCTATGAAAAAGAGACTAATTCAGCTCACAACTCAATCTTACAAGTGGTTTTCCTTAAGACAACTGTAGAAGTGTTCTTCGAGTACTTCTAATTTCTTCATACAGAATGTTAAAATGAAGAATATTCTTGTTACTCTCCTACTCTTTAGAATTAAAGAATTTGAGAGCTGAATATAGAAATTCTGAGATTGAATAATCCTGCATAATAATAGAGGAATAAGCAAATTAGCCGGGATACCCTCACGGGTAACGACCAGCAGGAACGGGTGGGTGTGGCTGCGTGCCACTCGAGGCAGGGGGACATGAGGCTGCGTCAAATAAAATAAAATGTGTTCACATGCCCTAAAGCACAAACATCCCAGCAGATAACTCAATGAAGGTTATTGTGTAATCACAACGATTACACAATAAACTTATTTTCACTGAAAAAAACACACATCTTCATTGAAAGATGCCCCAGCATGGCTGCTGAGGCTTTCATCTGTCCCTTTTCTACACTGAAGACAACAGGGTTCAAGGAGGAAGGGCTCCAGTTTCGTTTTCTCAGCACCCAGCTAGGAGGCCTCCGTGGGGCGGCTCTCCCCTCTGAGCCCTGCACAGGATGGGTGCTCTGGCCCGGGAGCCCCAAGGGGAGGCGGAGCGAAGTGCTTTCCCTCCGGGACCCCGCTCTCCCTGGGAGTCCGGTACAGAGGGTGTTCTCCCTGGGAACCCGGAAATCCGCCTCCTGGGGTGACTGCGTAGCAGCCAGGCCTGGCGAGTCGCGGAGAAAGCGACCTTCCCATGCAGATGTGTACGCTGGCGGAGGCCACACAACTGCCATAGTTGAAGTCATCCTTGATGGAGGACGGGGGTAGTGGGGATCAGAGTCGGCCATGTCGGCAATGGAACCCCAGCTCCCCGCTGAATGACTAGAGCACACGGACCTCAACAGTTCTTGGTCACTTCCCGAGCAAACCTGAAACCTAAGTAGGTGCCCTGACAGAATGCAACCCAAACCTTTGCTGTGGCAGAGGAGCTCCGACCCATAGCAGAGGCCAGGGCAGCCAGAGGGGTTTTGTTGAGGGGCCCTGACAGGCAGCCCGCAGCACAGTGGGTTAGAACCTCCTCCTGATACAGCAAGGTTGCGGGTTGGATCCCTGGTCAGGGCACAGACAAGAAGAAACCAAAGAGAGCATAATAAGTGGAACAACACACTGGTGTTTCTCTCACTCCCTTCCTCTCTCTAAAATAATCAATAAAAATTAAAAAAATAAACCCTCTGGCTTGGAGAGTTGCTAAAACAGTTAGAAAGTGAAGTCCCATCCCTTCCCATTCATTCAACAAAAACTTCATACGCTCCTTCAATAATCACACTGGGGTAATCACACTGGGGATGGGTGTTTGTTTGTTTGTTTGCTTGTTTTGGTTAATCCTCACCTGAGGACATTTTTGCATTGATTTTTTTTTTTTTTTTTTACAGAGTAGAAGGGAGGGAGAAAGACAGAAACTAATGTGAGAGACATCAATTGATTGCCTCTTGCTGAATCCCCCACCAGGGCCCCGGATTGAGCCTGTAACCCAGGTACGTGCCCTTAATCAGAATCCAACCCGGTACCCTTCAGTTCGCCTGCAGAAGTACTATCCACTGAACCAAAGCAGCATTTTTTTTCTTTTTAAGTCCTCCTCTAAGGATATGGTTTTTTTTTCATTGATTCTAGAGAGAGAGGAAGGGAGAGGAAAAGAGAAAAAGAAACATCAATCAGTTGCCCAAGCAAACCAACAGGGATGGAACCCACAACCTGTGTATGTGCCCTCACCTGGAATCAATCCCATGACCCTTTTGGTGCGTGGAAGGACACTCTAACTACTGATCCACACCGACCAGGGACAGGAGGCACATTAAAATTTTTTTTTCAGATCTGCCCTGGCCAGGTGGCTCAATTGGTTGGAGTCTCAACCTGTACACCAAAGGATTTCCTGTTGGATTCTAGGTTAGGGCACATACTTAGGTTTAGGTTAGATCCCGGTGGGTCAGCAGGTGCAGAGGCAGCCTACTGGTATTTCTCTGTCACATGGATGTTTCTCTAAAAATCAATTTTTAAAAAATCCTCAGGTAAGAATTAAAAATATATATATATTAAAAATTTTTCATATCTAAAATTTTATTTGGTTCTTTTTTAAATTTTATTTTTCATTTACAGTTCACATTCAATATCCTATCCTATATAATAAAACCCTAATATGCAAATTGACCATACAGTGGAATGACTGGTCGCTATGAACTGACCACCAGGGGGCAGATGCTCAAAGTAGGACCATTAGTGTGCTCCCACAGGGGGAGCGCTGCTCAGCCAGAAGCCAGGCTCACAGCTGGCAAGTGCAGCGGCGGTGGCCGGAGCCTCTGCAGCAGCACTAGGAGCAGTGAGCTGAGCGGTAGGGAGCAGCAAGCAGGCGGGCAGTAAGGAGCAAGAGATCCCGGACTGTGAGAGGGCACAGGTCGGGCTGAGGGAGCCCCCCCGACCCCCAGTGCACAAATTTCATGCACCAGGCATCTAGTAGTAAAATAAAATCAACACTTAAAAAAAAGTATGCTCAGCCTGACTGGTGTGGCTCAGTGGTTGGGCTTAGACCTATGAACCAGGAGGTTACAGTTAGATTCTCAATCAGGGCATATGCCCAGGTTGTGGGCTCGATTCCCAGTGTGGGGTGTGTAGGAGACAGCCAATCAATGATTCTCTCTCATCATGGATGTTTCTATCTCTTTCTCCCTCTCCCTTCCTCTCTGAAATCAATAAAAAAATATTTTTGAAAAGTATGCTCAACGGTTGAGCCACCTATATATATAAAAGCCTAAGCAACTGGTTGACCATTCGACCATCCACCCGGTTGCTATGACGCACACTGACCACCAGGGGGCAGACATTCAACACAGGAGCTGCCCCCTGGTGGTCAGTGAGCTCCCACAGTGGGAGCGCTGCTACACTGGCAAGCACCACTGCGGTGGTGTGAGTCTCTCTGGATCGGGACTGACTGGGCGCGAGCCCGCAGCAGGCACAGTAGGCCTGGGATGAGTGGGAGCGGCAGGTGGGAGCTGCAGGAGGCGCTGGACTGCAGGTTTCGGCCCCACCCCTGCAGGCCACCCAGAGGGACCCTTCCCGTGCACGAATTCGTGCACCGGGCCTCTAGTATTAGTAATATAGACTCAATGTGAAAGTGTATGTGTCTATAGCATTGTGAATCAGGTGCAGCTGGGCCGGGATGAGCGGGAGTGGCGCAGCACCAGGCTCGGGCTCCTCCCCAGCCACCTGCCACGGCCCGATCCCCGAAGGCCATGCCGAGGGACCCCCCACCGGTGCACAAATCTGTGCACCGGGCCTCTAGTAATGATGTAATTCTTATTGCATCATCAAACACACTCTTCATTGAAACTGGCATTTTCTATTTTTTATTTATTTTTTACTCTGAGTGTGTAGCAGTAAGGAATACAATGACTACTCCCACAGTTTGGTGCCATTGCCTTGATTTGTGCTAAGGCACCAGCCCTTTGACCACCATTGCAGTGCAAATGACAGAGCAATTAAAAACATCAAGTAATGGCTTAGTGTTATTATGAAAATAGTTTTAACCTCATGGAGCTCCTGGGAACATCCCAGGGACCTGAAGGAGTCCGCAAATCTTTGTTACTTGGATGTTAAACTTAACATGTTGAAAACAGTACTCTTTCTAAAAAATATATATTTCTATTGATTTCAGAGAGGAAGGGGGAGAGATAGAAACATCAATGAGAGAGAATCATCAATCGGATGCCTCCTGCATGCCCCACACTGGGGATCCAGCTCACAATCCGGGCATAAACGCCAACTGGGAATCGAACCGTGACCTCCTGGTTCATAGGTCAATGCTCACCCACCGAGCCACACTGGCCGGGCCAAAACAGAACCCCTGAGCCCCACACTTCCTGACCCTGTTTTTTTTCTTAGTCGTCCCCACCTCAGTAGCACAAAGATATTCAGTAGTTCAGACCAAAAATATTGTAAAGTCATCCATGATTCTTTTTCCCTTACCTCCCCATTAACTTCCTCAGCAAGTTTTGGCAACAGTACCTCCAGAATACATCCCAAATGCATCTGTCCCAGTCCCTGTCCACGGATAATAACACCCTAACCCAAACCAGTATTCAATGCTACGCTAGCCTCCTAACTGGTCCTCCCGCTCCCCTTCTGGTTACCTGGTCTCCCATTCATTCTCCACCAGCCAACTATGGAGAGCCAAAATTAGACTTCTCTCCTCTACTTAAAACTGTTGACTTCCCACTGCACGGAAAATACAGTCCACACTCCTTTCGAAAGCCTACAGGGCCTGCCTGCTCTGGTCCCTGCCTCGTTCTCTGACCGAACCCCAACTATTCTCCCCACTGCTGGGGATGCTAGCGCTTTCGTGGCCTTCCTTCCTTCTGTCCCTCACACGGGCCAAGCTCAGGGCCTGGGCTCTGCTCCCTGGCTTGCCCCGGATTTTCACTGGCTACATCCTTCTTGCATCCAGGCCTCAGTTCTTGTAACATCTCCTCGGGGAGGCACAGCCTAGTTACCCTATTGCAATTAAGGCTTTCCTCCTCACTCTTTCTCACCTGTCCCTGTTGATTTCTGGCCCCCTAACCTCGCCCCTTGAATGTCACCTCCTGCACCTAGTACAGTTATGCATAGAAGTAAATATATTCCGTAGCTTTACTTAATGAATGGCTGGCCCTAGCCCTCACCTGGTAAGGAGAGGAATCGTTTCAAATACTATACAAGGGAAAGCACAGAGGATCTGGAGCCGGGTGCGTGAGGTGTGAGGATTATCCTGCCGCTCTCTAGCTTTGTGACTTGGGTTCATTGGCTTTTGCGCCTAGTTTAAACCGATGAAACAGGGATACCAAAGAATGACAGTGAAGAACAAATGAAATAAGCAGGAGCTCGGTGAGATGCAAAGCGCTGATCCGATGCTATCACAACCAGGTCTTACTTGAATGGGGTGGGTAAAAAAAAGGGCAGCAGCTAGGCGGGGAGGCAAGGAGACGTAAACAGAGGGTACTTCTGAGGAATGGGGGGCGGGGGGACTGAGGGGGGCCCTCAGGGAGGCTGGGGAGTTTTCCAGTAACTGTCAATCCCACCCACCGTCGCTACCTCCGTTCTACTGGGCCCTCGGGTCTACAGCGTCTTCCTGCTCTTTCTCCCCATCCCCGCCGGACGTCCCGAACCCTCACCTCACAGGCCGCACCATGGCTCCCTTCCAGGCTGGATACTTGCAGCTATCAAGCGCTTGCGGGCAGCAGAGGCGGTTTCAATTCCCGCCCAAATCCGGACCCGAGCTCCCCGCCCCCCGCCACCAGTCCTCCAATGACCGCCGGCCATCCTTGCGCAAGCGCGGGCGTCCTGAGCGGAGTGCTCACCCCTTCTCCTGCCCGGGCCCTTCCGCTTCCGGTCCGCCGGAGCCGAGTTGGTGCTGGGCCGCTACGCTTTCGCCACGACGGTGGCTTTTGCGCGGACTCTGACATACACAATAGCGGTAGAAATACACCTTCTCACAGTTTTTGAATGACTACACTGGTGCATGGTGGAACAGGGGGGCACTTAGATCGGGGAATTTTCTACGGGGTGCCAGGTAGGGGAAAGGTGCGCGCGAATCGGCTGAAGCGGATTGGCTGGCTGTAAATACCAGTCAGTGGGTCCGCTGACGTTCCCGGTGCCGCGGCTTCTTGACAGGCCCCGGAGTGCGGACCCTTCGGACTTAGAAACGTGGGGAGCTGAGTCCAGAGGTGAGAGTAGGGATGCCCCTTCAGAATGAAACCCCCTAATAGAGCGGCTGTGCCCCCTCGGTCGGCCGGAGCTGCGCAGCCCCGCAGTCTGCCCTCAGAATCTCCGCTGTGGACGGCGGGAGTTCGGTCCTGCCCTCCCCCTCCCATTCCATGTTTGCACGGGAATCCTTTTCTTATTTCACCCCTGCGTTATTTTTTTTAAAAAAAAGAAAAAGTGGGGAGAGGGCACTAAATAATCATCTGCCGAAACAAGTCTAAATGTTGAACCGATTGAAACTAAAGCTAATGGTTATTATTTACTAAAAATATTTAGCCAAGGAAAGAAGAGCAGTACGAGTGTTCTAGGTAAAGGAAAAGCATTCAGAAAGGTTGGGAAGAGCATTCAGCAAACTTGTGTCTTTGGGAAGCAGGTGCTGGGGAGGAAGAAGCCCGGAGATAAAAGCAGAGGCACTGTAAACGGGGTTAAGGAGTTTGAGTTTTATCCCAAGGCTAATGGAATGTTATAAAAGTGTTCTAAGCAGGTGACAGCAAGGTATCTACTTGTTGGAAAGGTTACTGTGATTTGTGCCGAATTCTGTTTTGTCCCAGAATAGTGTCAGAACTGATGTGGTGAGGAAAAGCCTAGAGACTGTACGTCTAGGAAGGAGGCTGACAAACCTTTACAGGATGTTGATTCTTACTCTGTTTTACTAGATTTTCTTCTTATTGAACAGCATCCAGTTTGCCTTGTGGGATATTTTTTATTTTCTATTTTCTGTATATCTTCTTCCCACATGAAAATCTTTCCAACACCCATCTCCCTTCCCTCTACCCCCAATCTGATCTCATAGAACATCTAAGATCTCCAAGATCACTTCTTGGTCCCTGATCTGTCTCTTTGATTTTTTAAAATATATTTTTATTGATTTCAGAGAGGAAGGGAGAGGGAGATATAGAAACATCGATGATGAGAGAGAATCATTGGTTGGTTGCCTCCTGCAAGCCCCACAGGAGGATGGGGCCGGCAACCTGGGCATGTGCCTTGACCGGGAATCTAACTGACCTCCTGGTTCATATGTCGACGCTCCACCACTGAACCAAGCCGGCTGTGCTATTTCTTTGATTTTGTATTCACCAACTGTTCCATCAATTCTATTATCCCAGACTCCTCTCTGCTCTTTTCTCCCTGTTCTTTTTGTTGTTGTTGTTCTTGAGAATCCTGCCTAGGAATGCAAAGTTCTCTATGGGCATATTTTTCCTTAAATAAAGCTTAAAAGAAACTGTCCTCCTTTTTAAAAGGTGCACTATATTTTCACCACAAAGATGAAAACACAAGGATAAAAGTAGGAAAAACTAGAATAATTGGCTTCGAATCACACAAATAAAATCTCTGAGTAGTGGAACATTTTCTTAGAAGTGGTAGAGCGACAATGTGGTATAGCATGTTTTTATGAACTTATAACGTGCTGCTTTTTTGTTAGTTCTACAGATATCCTGCCAAAGAAGATGAAGAAAAACAGAGAAAGATTCTGCAGCAGAGAGAGGGAATTTGTGTATAAATTCAAAATAGGAAGTCAGTGCTTAGAACTGAGGGTGCCCCTCAAATTTCCTGTTCAAGAGAATGTCAGTTACTTACATGGGCGCCTGATGCTGCTGCACAGCTTGCCATGCTTTATAGAAAAAGGTGAGGACTGATTTTTTAATACTATTTTGTTGTTTATCTAGAGTCTCTGACATTAAAAGTTTCATATTAGAAAGCATAAAACTAAGAAGCATTGGAAAGAACCATAAAATATAAAGTGGTTAACTGCTTTTAAGAATAAAAAGATTCCCCAGACCTTTGTTTTATTTAGTGCTTTTTCCTATAACTTGTAGTTGTTGATAAGGCAGGTTAGTATAAAAATTAAATTATATAATGAAAAATTAGTTACCAAGTCTGGAATAGAACTTTTAACCTCTTAGTTGGATGAATTCATAAGGCACTTCAGCTGTCAGTTATTATAGAATTATATTGCTAAATGCATTGCCCCTTTAATGATCTGGTTCTCAGTTCCTGAGATGTCATGGAAGAGAAGGAATATAAATCGTTGAATAATTTTTGCTTACCTAAATTAATTCCATGAAGTCATCTGTATTAAACCATTTTAAAAGCCTGTGTTCTACCTCACAGATGAAGAAAAAAATTTAATTGAGAATGTGTTGGGTCATAGAAAGTTAGAGTTAGGGAACCTGAAAACTTTCTAGCACTATTTCATTGTACAGGTAAGGAAATCTGCAAATAAAAAGGTTAAAATATTTGCCTACGGCAGTGGTTCTCAAAAGTTGTTCCCCGATCAGGAGCAGTAGCATCACCTGGAAACTTGTTAGAATTGCATATTTTTGAGCCCCACCCCATTCTTGCTGAATCAGAAACTCTGGGGGTAGCATGCAGCAAGCTACTTCAGTAAGCCCTCTAGGGCATTCTAATAATGCATGCCACTGGTCTAATGTAACGTGGTGGACAGAACACAGGCATACTAACTTCTATCCCAGTGCTCTTTCCATTATACCTGTTTTTTAAGTATTGTCTCTAAAATTGGATTTATACAGCATCTGAACTACATCAGTTTTAATACACTAATTATTTAATTTCTTCAAATTCAAAGAATGTAACAGTGCATATATAGGAAATTTTTTCATATAAGTACAGCAACCTTCAAACCCTTGAAATCTGTAGAAGTTTTTCTGTATGTGATTTTACCAACTCAGTTTCAAACTGAAACATCAGGCTTAAGAAATTAACATTTCAAATTAGTATCAAGGTTATACATGAGTCAAGAATTTTGACCATTGTCCATGCAGTAACCTGTAATAGTAAAGAAAAATGGTTGTGCAAAGACCTTGTATGTATATATGCATAACCCAGGGACGCAGACAGTGGGGTGGTGGAGGCCTGAGGCGGGGGGTTTGGCGGGGATCGATGGGGGAAAAAAAGGGGACACATGTAATCTATATTATAAAAGGCCCATGGCCGTAACACCGTAACGACCACCAGGAGGTGCATTGAGCACCTCTCGGTCCCTCCCCACCTCACCTCGCCCATGAACATCGGTTCTCTTGGCAGGTGGGGTGGGGCGGGGCAGGGCGCAGTGGCATGAGCTACTAGCAGCGTGCGCCCTGGGCCTCTAGAACTTTCAATAATAAAGACATTTTTAAAAAAGAAAAATGGTTGTGAAGTAGATAAATGATCCCCTAAGTTTATTTTATTTTATTTAGACATTGTACTTGATAAAATAAAATTTGACATTGGAATGCTTAGGTAAAATGTTTCCTGTTTTTGTCTGGATTTTGCTGATGATAGCATTTCTTGACCCTGATATAGACTTAAAAGAAGCTCTGAGCCAGTTTATAGAAGGAGAATCCCTCAGAGATTATGATAGAGAGGCTGAAGCATCACTGGAAGCTGTGAAGTCAGGTGAAGTAGATTTACATCATCTGGCAAGTACATGGGCCAAAGCTTATGCTGAGGTAAGAAAATAGATCAGATTGTAAATTTCAAGGATATTCTGGACTTTGATGAGGATTTTTAAATTGCTAAGATAATACTGAAACAGGTGTAGAATCCTTTTTTCTCTAATTACAAAAATTTATTCCATAACATATAATATCTATATATTTAAAAGGCTAATATGCTAAGTGTCTGACCGTTTGACCGGTCACTATAACGCGCACTGACCTCCAGGGGGAAGACGCTCAACGCAGGAGCTGCCATGATGCGCACTAGCCAGTTACAGAGAAACAGCTCTTCGGACCTGGCGCCCACAAAGCAACACTTGGCTTCCCCCAAGTGGGACAAGGGCCCTGCCACCACCCCGGAGCGACAGTTCACCAAATATCAGCCAATGCTGCCGAGACCCCATGGCGATAAATGCGACCCACAGCCCAGCCCAGCCCAGAAACAGTCACTGTGGGCGCCTGGTAATGACGTCACATAGCAACGCCTGGTTTCCTCTCCCTAGTGAGAACTAGCCTCCTTGCAGTTTCTTCAGCCCAGGAACACCACTTGCTTTATAGTTAGGTGCAAACATTTCACACTTTCACCAAATGTCTGTGAAGCATTTTCCCATGCCTCATCTCATTTGATCCTTGCAGAAGTCCTGGGGTAGGTAAATAGGAGACTCAGTGGAACCCTATTTTCTTTTCATTAGCCAGAAAACGGAGATTAAAAAGTTTAGGAACTTGACCTGACTGAAAATAAGTAAGAAATGGTGGACCTTGAAAATGACTTCAGGTTTTCTCACTGCGCAGAATATAGTCAAATACTGCTGCAGTTAAATATTTTACCCTTTGTTCTCCCTGCGTAATCTATATATGTAAAAGGCTAAATGTCCATTTGTCCAACCAGTCGCTATGATGTGCACTGACCACCAGGGGGCAGACACTCAATGCAGGAGCTGCCCCCAGGTGGTCAGTGTGCTCCCACAGAGGGAGCGCCGTTCAGCCAGAAGCCAGGTTCACAGCTAGCGGGCACAGCAGCAGTGGCAGGAGCCTCTCCCGCCTCCACAGCAGTGCTAAAGAGC